GAAGATGAAGGTTTTATTTTGTTCTTAGATTTTTTTAAAGCGTTCGACACAGTCGAACATAAGTTTATTCTTAGCACCTTAGAACTATTTGGTTTTGGAGAAAACTTCATTAACATGATTAAACTAATTTATAAGGATACTAACAGTACAGTCATACTACCACAAGGAACATGTCCAAGATTCTCAGTTAATAGAGGAATTAAGCAAGGCTGTCCCATTTCTCCCTTATTATTTATCACAGCAGCGGAAATGCTTTCTATTCTTATAAAAAAAACAGATTTTGAAAATTTGATGGTGTTAGGCAAACAACTGGCAGTTAGCCAACTGGCTGATGACACAACCATATTCATGAAAAATACTGAACAAATCCCCAAAGTCCTCAATACAATTAATTTCTTTTCCAAGGCATCTGGACTAAAATTAAACCTTAAAAAATGTGAATTATTACCAATACATAGTTCCCCTCTAACAACAATTCATAATATCCCTGTTAAATCAACCGTTAAATACTTAGGCATACACATTACTAAGGACATTAACACTCTAGATAACCTCAACGTTTGGAATACTTTAGATAAATGTAAATCATATTTAAATATGTGGTCTCAAAGAGACATCTCTATTATTGGTCGAATTTTCCTCACAAAAATGGAATGTCTCTCAAGATTCATTTACCCAGCCTATTCGTTATCACTCTCTAAAAGTGCAATAAAGACTATAAACCAAGCAATCTTCAATTATATATGGAATAGGAAAACACACTACATCAGAAAAGGAATTATGGTTAAAGGATACGAGAAGGGAGGTCTTAAAGCCATCGATATAGATTGTATTAATGGCACTATTAAAATTAATTGGCTAAGATCCTTGTTAAGAGATGAAAATAGCCAATGGTTCCACATCCCAAACCATATTTTTATGAGCTTAGGAGGAATTAACTTTCTCCTTAGATGTGATTTTGATCTGAAAAAGATCCCCATCAAATTATCTGCCTTCCATCAACAGGTTTTGCTATACTGGAAAATGATTTTCAAGCATAATTTTAGTCCCCATAACACCCCATTATGGAATTGTAGGTATGTCTTACTTAGAAATAAATCCATTTTTTACCAAAATTGGTTAGAGAAAGGAATATGGTCTGTAATGCATCTGTTAGACAACACTGGAAATATTATACCCTTTGCAGAATTTTGCTCCAAATTTAATCTTAATGACAGAAGGCAATACAATAATATAATCAAAGCAATTCCTCAATCTATGATTATAATGTCTAATAACTTACTTCAAAGTAATATTAACCCAAATCTTCCTTCACTTTTGGTGAATGGTCATAATCTCAATAGCTTTAAGTTGCCTAACGTCACAATCCGGCAAACCTTTATTAAAGAATTATATCCATTCTCAACAAACAGAAACTCAATTCTACAATTATTCTCTAAAAAGGAAGCTGAGAATTTAAGGGCCAAATTCTTTAAGTATCCAATTGCACCAAAAATGAAGGAAGTTCACTTTAAAATTCTTAATGGAATATACCCTTCTGCTGAATTTTTACGATGTCGTTTTGGTTTTGAGCATAACAATTGCTCATTCTGTGATGATGAAATTGAAACCACAGAACATTTATTTTATGATTGCAAGTTTATTCATGTCTTTTGGGAAGATTTACATGACTGGTTATTCCCCAAATTTGTCAATTTCTCTAATTTAACAAAAGAGAATATTTTATATGGCATACCTGTAAAAGATCCAACACATGATCTGGGAATTAATACAATCATCATCCTTGCAAAAATTTTTATACATAAGAACAAATTCATGAAAACAAAACCCCAAATCTATGTTTTTCATAAGGAGTTGTGTCATTATTTCTCATCTTTAAAATGCATGGAGAAAAAAACGGCTGTGAAGCTTCGTGATTTAGTAGAGGAGCTTAACCTCACAGAGTTCCCCTAGCTCTCTCCCCTTTATTTCCTATTTCTTTACTTAATAAGTTTTTGTTGTTGTTGTTGTTGTTTTTTAATTTACTTATGTATTTATTTTCTTTACTCTCAGTAATTGGGTAAACTTTTACTGTGACATTTTGACTATTTGTACTGTTAAAACCCATATTGAGGCTTGTCTGTAGCCTATTTGGTTGTATAACACTGTTCTATGCCAAATTGTATTCCGGTTCAAGCGAGGAGCTAGCAGTAGCGCTATAAAAATAAGAGACTTGGGACGCACCCCATATGTGCATTCGCCAAAAAAGATTTCTAGCTTCCGGGTTTACTTCCCCAGTATTCGGCCCACTGAATATGCGCAGTAGTGTTTCTCCTGCCGGTCCTGCCCACATTGTGATTATGTCACAGATTTTTAAGTCGCTTTTCTCTGCTTGAGGAAAGTTTTACGTAAAAAAACACCCCATTGCTAAAAAATTCAGAATATAAAGATTCATTATTGACCTGGTTTACAGTTTAAGGTGTTCTGTCAACAGTTTTACAGATGTCTCTTTTTTCATGGTGTTCTATGGGGACAATGCTTTCTGAGCCGCAGGGGAATTTCTGCTATAGTACAGCGAGTGACTAGGCTGAGCAGCTTTCCTATTGGGGCCTGGGGATTGGAAAGGTGGTTAAAAACCTGCTGTGGAATTTAAGACTCCAGAAGAAAATGTATTTAAGTGATTAGGTAAAACTGACTGAAAGAGAAAGTGCAGTAGTTGTAGTTGCTGTACATTGTTACTCACCGAGTCTACCAGTTTTTATTCTTCCTCCACTTCTTGCAGTTGCTTCAAGTATCCGGACGTGTCGAAATCCAGCATTGACAAGTCGGTGTGCCGCTGCTATACCTGATATTCCACATCCTATTATAAATATTCTAGCGTTCACACTCATAGCCATAGATAGGTTTGTACTAAAGCATACAGTTTACTATGCTGACAGCTGAAAACACTGTAGCAAGGTAGACTGAGTGATTGCACCTCAGATGATTGAAGCACTCCCTGGAGTGCAGGACTAACCTTGAGGTGATGGGAGGGTTTATGAGTCCACGAGTGCTGACAGAGATCATTCCAAAAATGACCAAGGCTCAAAAACACGTTTGGAAAATAAAATGTGATCCGGTGATCGAATTCAAAATTATGCCCAATTCAGTCAAAATTCTAACTTTTATAACAGAAAATGTGATACGGTAAATTCAGTATCTCATTTTGATTTAGAGAATCAAAAAATTTACTTGCAATTTTAACACCACACATAAAAGTTATTACTTAATTTTTAATCTCAAAAATGTTAATTACATTGAGTGATTATGGTTTTGTTAGTCCTCACAGTCCACACATGCCAAAAATGTGCTTCTGCAGTGTTACCCAACTAAGTTAACAAGTAACTGGATCAATATTTGCCTGGAACATCCTGAACCATTAGCCCACGGGACATCTTGGGGGGGACATTTAGACTTCCTGTCTAAAATGTTTACTTGGCTACAAACTGCAGACTAACAAAACTTCACAAGTTGCATTACTGGTTCAAAATGGTTCCAAAATTAAAGTTGTTCACACATTACCAAGCCGTCATCTAGACGTCCATGGTAGGCACACTAAGTAAATACACTTTCTGCAATGCAATTAAGAAGCAGAAAAGTGCACTTAGATGTCTTAGTAGAGTGCAGATCTCCACTCTGCAGAGATCAAGTCTTTTAATTCTAGCAAATGTGGCACAGCAAGTTTCAGGAGCGTTCCAGAAGCTCATAAAAATAACTGTGTTGTCTGTTCTGATGAAGGATTAATGTGTTATTAATAACTAAAACACAGCCACAAATCTTTGATCCAAGCATGGCATTTATAACTGGACTTTGAATGGTATTAACTCTGTTTGTGTGCTGTATTTGCCACTGTGTCTCTTGTCTGCATGCTGCGTACAGTCTGACACCTGGTTGCTACCTTTGTAAAAATCCTTGACCTCACCTGAGTGCTGTGGGGGTATACGTCCCAAACACAGAAAATAAGAAGAAACTAGAATTACTGCCTTGTGGTTGTTTACCTCAGTGAACCCGTCAAGTTGCAGTTACAGTTTACATCCATGTCTGTACCATGGATATTTCATACACATTCTCCCACTGGCAGTACAGAAGATCTTTACAGTCAGTACAGTTTCAAGGTTGACACCCAAGATCAGTGTCACCAACTTAGTATTTGTTTCTGAGTTATGAGGTTAAGTAATGGCCAGAAAAGTATTTTTGCTGAATATTATGATGTCAAAGTCATGTTGACCTTTGACCTTTTGGATGAAAAATGTAATGACTTCATCTTTTTTTTTCCATTTTATCCTGTTAGACATTTGTGTGAAATTTTGTCATAATTAGCATATGATATTTTGGGCTTTGGCTAAAAACATGTTTTTTGAGGTCACAGTGACCTTGACCTTTAACCACCAAATCTAATTAGTTCATTCTTGAGTCCAAGTGGACGTTTGTGCCAGATTTGAGGTCATTTCCTGAAGGCCTTCTTGGGATATTCGTTTATGAAATGAGACGGATGCAAGGTCCTAGTGACCTTTGACTTTTGACCAACAAATTCTTATCAGTTCATCCTTGACTCACAGTGGACACTTCAGTGGAATGAGATGGACACAAGGTCATAGTAACTTTTGACCATCAAATTCTAATCAGTTCATCCTTGTGTTAAAGTTGATGTTTGTGCCAAATTTAAAAACAGTTCCCTCAAAGGGTTTCTTCAGATATCAAAAATGAGATAGATGCGGTCAGAGTAACCTTGACCTTTGACCTATGACCACCAAAATCTAATCAGTCCATCTTTACGTCCAAATGGCCATTTGTGCCAAATCTGAAGAGTGGAGGAGGTCATGTAATATTTTAACATTGATCATAACATTTTAAAAGAGACAGCTTTGTTAACAGCGGTGGTTTGTGTAGCCATTGTAAACATCCCAACATGTGGATGGAGAATTCTTCTCACTATATTACTGATTAGCTCTGTTCCACCATTATTTAAACTTCTTTCAAGGTTCAAGGTTCAAGGTTCATTTATTTTCATTCCTGCATGGGGTACATGAGAGAACGAAATTAGGTGCTCAAGGCCCAGTGAGAGCACAATAAATAAAAAGAGGGGCAAAGTTAAGTTAAATACGTAAGTTAAAAACACATAGTTAAACGATAAATAAGGAAGTCACAGTCAATTTATGCAGTATAGTCAGCTCAGCTTGTGGGCTATGTATTATTCAGAAGTCTGACTGTCTCAGGAAAAAAACTGGATCTGAGGCATGAGGTCCTTGCTTTAATACTGCTCAGTCTTCTGTCTGAGGGCAGTGGGGTGAACAAGTCATGTTCAGAGTGTGTTGGGTCCTCGTTGATGTTAGAGGCCCTGCTCCTGCAGCGGCTGACATAAATGTCTCTGATGGGTGCAAATTTGCAGCCGGTGATCCTCTCAGTGGATTTCACCACCCGCTGCAGAGCTTTCTTGTTTGCTGCAGTGCAGTTGCCATACCATACAGTAACGGCCTGGGTCAGGACACTCTCCACTGCACATCTGTAGAAGGCAACAAGGGCGGGGGACCCAAGGCCAGCATGCTTTCATTTCCTTAGAAAGTAAAGGCATTGGTGGGCCTTCTTGACCACACAGGCAGACAGGTGTTGGCAGACCAGGTGAAGTTGTCTGTAATGTGTAGTCCCAGATACTTGAAGCTGGGGACCACCTGTACAGCTTCACCTGCAATATGGAGGGCGGAGTAGGGGGGTGGCTGCTCCTCCTGAAGTCGATAATCAGCTCTTTGGTCTTCGCCACATTTATGCGAGGTTTGCTCTGCACCAGACCTCCAGTTGCTGCACCTCCTGCCTGTACTCTGTCTCATCATTATGGGATATTAGTCCCACAACCGCGGTGTCATCTGCGAACTTGACAATATGACAGCTCGGGTACCCTGCCGAGCAGTGGTATGTCAGCAGCGTGTACAGCAGGGGGCTCAATACACAGCCCTGGGGGGAACCAGTGTTGAGGGTGGTGGGTGAGGACGTGCTGCAGTGGATCCTAACAGTCTGCGTCCTGTTAGTCAGGAAATCCAGTACCCACGGTTTCTTGCTTGAATTACATTACACTGCCTTCATGATCTCCAGTGGTACTGCTATGTTTCGTCCAACATCATCCCAACCAAATCCCAAGAGGTCTAGACGGTGGTGGTGGTGGTAAAGGTGGTGAAGATGAGATGTCAGGAAGATGGAGAAGTGTTGATGATCTGGATGAGTAGAGGAATGAGCCTTTGCTTGAGCTTGTCCTGGACTCTGGATATAATGACTGGAGGTGAACAGGGTGGAGGGCACTGATAGCAGCAGAAGAGAGAGCAGATTTAAAATTTTGCAGTGGCATCTTGATTGGCTGATGGAGATTGTGGCAAAGTTTCATTGGATAACTAGAAGAGTGAATACCCATAGTCAGCTGATAAGAGGAAGCAGTGGGGGTGGGATGGAGAGAATTGTGAATGGATGAGCACAAAGAAAGTCTTCCTGATTACAGCACATAAAATCCCAAATCTGAAAACTGTAATTATAAAACCATACACTGTAGATGTATTTGTAAATACAGTCTATGTACAAAACATGAAACAAATGTCATATCTTGAGCTGAGTTTAGAGAGCACCAAAATCATCTACCCACTCTCAGGCAAATCAAATGTGATTAAAACAGCTGCTGTAAAACTTAAGTAGTTCAACATTTTGGGAAACATGCTTATTCTCTTTCTGTCTGTGTGAGTTTTCATGTTTTGCTTTCACCCACAGAGACTATGAACAAAACAGGATCTTGTCTTGCCAAAATATATAGGCTATAGCAGAGCTTCTAAACTATGGAACAATCTCCCATCTGAGATAAGAAACAGTAAAATCTATCACACCTTCAAACAAAAGCTCAGGACCTGTTTTTTGGACAATCAGACATGTGAACATAAACAACACAGTACGTTGCTCACCATCACCACAACATATTGTTATTTTTGGATAAATTGCTGCTAACTTGCTTTATGTCTTTGCCCACTGCCAGACAACCAACTCTGCATGGGTATGTATGCTGTATCTATTTTGGCTTACGCGTCAGTGCATTTGACCGTACATAATGACTGTTGTGTTTTATCTATTTTTACTTCCATTGCTACTCTGCATGTCTGAGTGTAATGCCAATCTGTGTGTTGGTGCTTGGTGTTTCTTGCATGTCTGTTTGTGCTATCATGCAGTTTGTTGTTGTTGTGTCATTGTATTGTACTGGTGCTCTGCTGTTACTTGCTGCTTTGCATAGCCTCTGTTCTATCTTGACAATTACTTAATTACACATTAATAACACCCCCCTCGATAACTAAACCTCCATCACCACCATTAACACGCACGCACGCACGCGCGCACACACACACACACACACACACACACACACACACACACACACACACACACACACACACACACACACACACCAGTTCTGTTAACAAGGCATGTAAGTGTTGAATAAAAAGCCTTGAATATCTTAAGTATGTTACATATCACCCATGGTTATGTTACAACTATTAGTTGACTATTAGACTGTAGGGTGAGTGGTAACATTTCATCTCTTGTGTTTGAGACCAAACTATGCATTTTCTGTTTATGTTACATGGACAACAGCTACACCATTTAATAGCAGTTACATGTGGCATGTTACCCTGCATGAAAGTCACAAGGTAAAATAAGGCAAAGGAGACACTTTATTGAATGAGAATCACTGTTGACTCAGATGAAAAAGAACATTTTATGGAGACTGAATCACCTTTGCCTTCAACACTTGCTTGCGTAACATCGTCTGCAGCTTTTGTCATTTTCTGATGTTGTCTAATCTCAGATTCACTCTGGTCACATACAGTATGCAGTCGTACTCCCCAAAACCTGGAAACAGATGTGCGAAATCTTTGGAGGTCTTTTTTTCAGTATTACTGCATTATGTTTTGGGGATTAAAAAACAGTTTTTATGTGTTCCTCTTTTAAATTTTTTAATCTGGACTGATGGAGTAGTGAGAGATGAGTCTGTCAGCCTCTCTCCACCCAGTGAGAAGAGCTCCATGGACAGTGGAATAGTAGTATGGATGAGTAGCCTCTCCAGCGAATAACACCTGCAGGGGCTGAAACACACCTGAGCAGTTAGAACTGGGAGCAAAAGTCATATTTTGTGGGTTAGTGTATATGGACTCTGTACGTGTGTGTGAGTAAGCAACACCCATCTTTGTACCTGTGACTGTGATCCCTTCATAGGCAGGGGCTCCATCATGTTCTCCAGGTCCTGCACTACACAGCCTACTGCTGGGTAAATGTACGATCCGCATGTCCAGGGGTCATGAAACCACTGGGAGCGGAGGATTCTCGTTGGGGTGATGGTAGGATTTCCTAAACACACACACACACACACACACACACACACAAGTAGAAAAAGTAAAAATCCCACAGAATGCTCACACTGCTTAAAGAAAAGTTGATCCAGCCAATAATACACATAGGCGTGAGCCAAGCAAGCCAGTTACTCACCATCAAGCTAAGAATTTCTTTATACAGTGCAACTTGTCATCTGTGTGATAACGATAAAGCTTTGGGTCTTGAATTTTGAATCTAGTATTGGCTTTAAGTTTAAGTTTAGAACCAGTTCAATCACTTTAACAATGTTATGGATCAATTATTCAAACAAGTAAACTGAACATGAATTACAGGAAAACTTTTGTCTCAGATCCTCTAGCACATCAAGATCAAAGCAAAAGTGACAACTCTTTAAGTCTTCAGCCATACTTGTGGCCCTCCACGCTGCAAAACGCACTGCATATATTGCCAAGAATTGAGATACTTCTCTGTTAATCCCATGGGTGAGTCAAAACATATACAGTTTGACCAGAAGGTGGCACTACAGGACAGGCCACATTGGCTGTGTTTCATTTGTAAATCAACTTCCCCTCGATCACTTGGCCTCCGGTCTGGGTATTGCGCATACACACTTTCAGCCCAAACTATCATGTTATGATGAGTTATAGGCTTAGCGTGATACTTCTTTTTAGAAATCATCATAAACATCTTCTGCAGATAACTGCACTATAATTGCAGCATCTGGTAATTAGCTGCATCAGTTTCTGATTTAAAATTTCTGTCTGTCATCATTATTATATTCATCTTCTGAGTCATTCTGTAACTGGAGGTACATTTCATGTCCATTGACAATAATGATATATTTTTTTAAACAATTCCTTAAAAAAAAAAAAAATCATATCTTACCGATCAAAGGAAAGCATATTATAAAATCAGACAAACATCTAATGCCCACTGTGTTTCATGTAGCTTCAAATGGACTGTTTTTGCAATGTCAGTTTTTCACTTGGTTGCATCTTGGCCTCAAAATGATGAACAGAAAAACACTCAAGTTAGCATTATCTATCTAATAGTTCTAAATCATCATAAAAATGCAGTTTTTTTAAACTGTGTTACTAACAGTACAAAAAAATGGTTTGTCCAACAAACCATGTAACCAGCACAGGCCCCCAGGAAGTGCTCTGGCACTGAAGCCAATATTTGTTATGTCCAAATATTGGAATGACATCTTCCAAGATCATCATATGACGTCACTGGGCCCCGAAAGACTATTCCCCCATAGATCTTACATTATGAAATAGACGTCTGCAAATCGGTAAATACATTTTTTTGAGCGTCACACCTCCCACAAAATGATTCCCCTCGAGGGCAAGAGCAGAGGAGAAGTCAATGGTGGCATGCAAAACGAATGAAACACTACCACTGTTCCCTAAATCAGAAGACTGTTACTGCAGTTACACAAGTACAATCGCGTGAAATATTTGCACTGGCAGGCTCCATTGTACAGCGGTTGGTTTTGTCTTTGACTCAGCTTGCCAGGCTCAACTCTGTGTCTGTCCTCTCCCTAAGTTGTACTTTGTCAGCTTACGGCCATGTCATGGGGAAGTTACAGTGCAACATAACCAACTTTACAGTGTGAACATCATTTATGTCAACACTGTAGTAGTACTTACAAATGGGAATCTTGTACAGTTTTGAAAATCTGACTGAGTTGGAAAGATAATCAGATAATGATACACTAATTTAATGTCAATTTATCAAGCATCCAGTATTTTAAACTTGCACATGATGGATTAAAATCATACAACTATAGCTGAATCTGTTAATCCGTTAAGTACCAGCAACACCTCTTTCTAATCCTGTGAGAGTGTGAAGTTTTCTTCATTTCTTTCTTTACCTGTTTACCTGGATGGGAATTAATGTGTTTTCCCAAACTGTCCCATTTAACGTTTGACCTAATTGTTGTCAGTTATGGTCGTACAATCCTTTTTTTATTTTTCAATGTGTGCATTCATCTGAGGTATCTTTTTATTTTGTCATCAGGCTTTTTTTCCTGATCTATTCTACCTCTTAAATGTGATTCGTTGTGCTGCATTTCCTCTTTGTAATGCAGTTTATACCTCTACATTTAAGAAGAAAGTAAAAAAGTAATGTATTACTATTGTCATCCTTATTAGTGATTAGGAGGCAGCTACAGGTTGAGAACCACCTGTGAATGTACGGATGAGCTCCGCGACTGAAAGTCTGACCTCCTGCTCAGAAAGTGTCTCCATATACTTCGACTCGTGCCCAGCGATCCAGCCGCAGAGAACGTGGCTATAAATGAGAGTTTAACAATAATTAGCAAGATGAGTCACATGGCTGCATTACTCTCTGAATTTATGAGTCACTCAGGGAGCTTTAAATAGGGAAGAATGAGCATCAGACACTGCTCAGCTGCCTAACATGTTACTGACCTTTCAGCACGTTTGATCACAGTGAACGCTGACAACTTCCTTATCCAGGAATTGTTGGACACCTGGTCCAAAATGTCCTCCTAAAGAGACAAAGGATGTAAAACAAAAATTGATTATCAGGGTTATTTGCTGATGAAAATTGGGCAAACAAATGTTTTTACTGCTGTTTTTAAAGAAAAAATATTACCAGAGGAAGTTTTTTGTGCACTAGCATGTACTTTGATGAGGAGAAGAAAGGACTGATAAAGTATCCCATAGATGCATGTTAGTATTAGGTGTAAATGCCTATCCATTATGTGTAACAGGGCTTTTCCCAGCAGGTAGTTGCCATAGGTCTGTTTATTAGGATCATAAAATCATAGTGGAAGTTCAGTTTAAGGTTTTGCCGGCAAATAAAACTTCTTAATGTGCTACTGAAGAAGCCTATTAAATTAAAATTATTAATTAAATTACACATATTCTGTCCAAACACATTGTCACTACCAAATACCAACGCTTGGTCAGTGATCAGTCAAGACATGATGTGCTAGACACCCCTCCTACGTCAGTTTTGGATGTTCAGGGATGGTATGTCAATTTAATCAATCAATCAATCAATCAATCAATTATATTTATAAAGCCCAATATCACAAATCACAATTTGCCTCACAGGGCTTTACAGCATACGACATCCCTCTGTCCTTAGGACCCTCGCAATGGATAAGGAAAAACTCCCCCCAAAAAATCTTTCATGGGGGGAAAAAAATTACACTTCTTAGCTGCATCCTCTCTTTTCAAAATACATTTTCGGGGTTTCCTTCACAAGAAATGTACAGTTTCTGCTTGTTAAATACAAGCAATCGTTTTCAAAATAAACTTAGAACATAGGTAAAACTAGAATTACTGCCTCTCAGTTGTATGCCTCTGCAAACTAGTGAAGTTACAGTCAACAGTTTACATCCACATCTGTGAAAACATGGATGCCTCACACACATCTTCCTCTCAACAGCACAGAAGATCTATAAAATCAGCAAAACATATGACAAGAACATATTTTATGAGGTCACAGTGATGTTCGACCTTTGACCCCCATATTCTAATCAGGTTATTGTTGAGTCCAAGTGGATGTCTGCACCAGATTTGAAGAAATTTCCTCAAGGCCTTCTTGAGATATCACTTTTACGAGAATGGGACAGATGCAAGGTCACAGTGACCTTGACCTTTGATCACAAAACTCTAATCAGTTCATACTTGACTCAAAGTGAAAGTTTGTACCAAATTTGAAGAAATTCTGTCATGGTGGTTTTGAGTTCATGAGAATGAGACAGACGAGGTCGCAGTAACCTTGACCTTTGACCACCAAAATCTCATCAGTTCACCCTTGAGTTTAAGTGAATGTCTGTACCCAATTTTGAAGAAATTCTTTCTGATGGCATCCTTGAGACATTGTGTTCATGAGAAGGGAATGGACGGACAGACAGCCCACCAACATAATCCCTCTGGCCACAGCTGATGCTGGCATGGAGACATAAAAACTTCTGTTTCAGGTGTACTTCCTTAGGTTCAGGGAACAAAATAACGTGTTAAGATTTAGGGAACAAAATAACGTGTTTAGGTTTAGGGAACAAAATAACGTGTTAAGATTTTGGGAACAAAGTAACATGTTTAGGTTTAGGGAACAAAATAACATGTCTAGGTTTAGGCAACAAAAGAATGTAGTTAGGTTTAAAATAAGTACATTTGCTACCGACGTAATACAACATCACATGACATATGTCTATGCTACACATACTAGCACACTACATCGTTATTAAAATAACTCTATTGGCCTTTGGTCAAGGGCTCCCAGGTGAAAGTCCAGTGTTTAACCCACCTGCCCTTTGTGGACTTTCTCGCTTTTTGTGCTATGGTAGTTGCCTGAATTATTGAGAAATGCCGCCACACGGTGCATCTCATACTGTTGCTTAAGGGTGCTTCTGTGCATTGGTGTCTGACACCTGACCAAGAGTCCATATTTGATGAGTCGAGAGTGAGCCCAGATTAGACACTGGTTCTGTGCATGCTTGTAAATGTATTTTATGGTTCAAGGATGTGCTACAGACCTCATCTTCCCACACCAGGAAGATTATCTCACAGTCAGCATCCCACCACCGAGATTCAAACTCTACAAATATTTTGTTGCATGTTCCAAATCCCAGTCTCTGGATGGAGTTCAGCTTGTGTGCAGGTAGAGGAGGAGAGAACAGGGTTGAATGGTGCTTCTTAAGGTATCCTAAGAAACAAACAAACAAGAAGTTAATGCTTAGGGTTAGGTGGTGGGTGAGATATTTTTCCATACCACTAAACCTGAGGTTACCCCTCCCACTTTTATGTGATTTTATTATATTGCAGGATTGTGTGATGGATTTCGATATAACTTTTTTGTCTCAGTGTGATGAATTAACTTGATTTGTCAAATATTTAATTAGATGAAAAAGCCAATTAGATTATTTAATTAATTTGTGATTACAGATTTTTCCAAAAAATATTACATATCACAGTCTGTATTGATACTATACTGTAAAACTGTAAATACCATAATAGAGGATTTTATCCATATTGACAACCCCCACTGTAAAGCCAAAATAATGTTGCCAAAAAAAGCATAGCCCTGCAACTAATTAACTCATTGACAGAAGTCAAATGTCTCATTTACACTCATCATACACTGAACAATAGTATAGTAAGTGTGCAGAGGTCTACCTAGAGGCACTGTGACAATAACATGATCAGCAGCGATCCTCTCCCCATCATTACACTCAGCCGTAACAGTGCTGTCTCCGCTCTCTGTGTTATCCCAGTGGACACAGTGAACAGGCCGATTGTAGGTCACTAAACCACTGGGGAGCTCCGACATCAAGTTCTGGATTAGGCCTTCGTAGCCACTGCAAGAGAAAGGCAATGAATAAAAGTTACCGACATGCGTATGTGCGACACTTTAATGGACTTAGATATTGGTTTATCTCAAAAAGGCTCAGTCTCAGCACTCCAAGGGGATCAGGTCTTGGGGAGCAAATTGTCCCTTTGCTAAATCCCATCACTTTGTTGTTAGCCTCTGCTACTCCGTCAAGCTGTCAGCGAGCATGGAGCCTGCACCATAACAGTCACTAACTGTACTCCCAGGAGGAAAGTGAACCACCACATTATCTGGTGACTGAGGCAGAGGACAGGGAAATTAAGGGATAAGACTATGCTGTAAAGCAGGGTAGAAGTGCTAACTTAGTAAGGCAATGTATAACATTTAACGTACATCTCCTTTCAACCTCTCCCGGTAACAAATTTCACTAACCCACCTCTTATTCTGGCCATTTAAAGTATACCCACTTATCAGCCAAAAAGCCATTGGAATATATAAGAAAGAATACCCACTTCCTCCTTGGTAACATACCAATCTACCTAGTAGTACACCCACCTCATCAAATACCACTTCACCACAGCTAATAATACCATATAATAACAATGTCCTCCGTTAAATTCTAGCTAAGGAGTTTTGTTGCATGTCACACACCCCTCTCTTTCCCCCATCACATAAAGGCAAAAATGCCCCAAAAACAATCTCAAATGAATAAAAACAGTGAACTGAGTAAAAAGAGGAGCTGAGTGGAGATCGATATTGGTAACACGACTTATTTAGAGGGCTGAAACTCATTATCTAACCCAAAAAGGGTGAACATTCTTCATGAGTTGGGGGTAAAGGGTTCTCATTTATCCAGTCATGTGCTAAGAACTTTCCAAACACGTGCCTTTTTGTCAAACCAGTATAACTGAAGCACACCCTGGGCACCCCTCAGAACGTGCTTGGGAAGTACTGAACATAGGACTGGATAAAAGAGACTTGGATTATACTGCAGGACCCCTGCTTGCTTTAGTTCATAAAAATGTTCATCTTTTTTGGATTTTCTTTTCACTGTGGAGGCAAACGGGAAAACCAAATTAAAAAACAAATTCAAGGTGACATGCGGTGAGTTACTGATATACAGATGGCCATTTTGTGAGTGAAGTATTCCTTTAATAAATGTTAATAAATGTTTCTAACATTTATTTAGTGTGTATGATTATGTTTATGGGACAGTGTAGAACAAACTCTGGGAATGTGCAGTCGAGTCCAGTTAGAGCTTTGTAGATGTTATATCCTGCCAGGTCTATCTCGTCCATGGTGGGAGCTGCACTGGCACAGCACTCCTCCTTCAACATGGCACTGATGGCACACAGTAGCAGCTTCCTGGTGCTTTCATCCTTATTGGCCCACCTCTCTGCTGCTCGCTGTTGTGCCTGCACATAGCACCAAACACCCAAACTTCAGTTTATCATTAAGAAATTCTCAGATCTCAACAGTAGGGAATATAATTTTGGTCACTGAGAGAAAATATACCTCTGATCGAACAAAATGTCCTACGCTGGCCCAGGGCTTTTCTCCTTGATTTCGAAACTGGAAAGTATCCTCCAATAGCTCATCAAACATCTCCAGAGCAGGTTTCATGTCTTCAGCACTGAGCTTCTGACCTGCACATCACCCACAGAACACAATAACAGAAATCACTTTTTTTTGCACAAAGTAAACAATAGCCAGACTACTGGACACAGAATGTTTGTCATGAGGACACAGCTAATGCACACAAAGCCAGATAACTTGAATGTGTTAAAACAGGCTGGTGACATGTTGCATTTCACCATCTGGTGACCTGAACTGCTGAACCAGTTGGGAACCCAGGGAAGGCGTTCATCGAGGTCCATGGCCTGATTCTCTTGGGTGAGGGCCTCTGGATCCAGGAGGCCATAGTCACGTGCCAGACAAAACACCGGGTTCTCCTCAGATGGACCGTGGATATAACTTGCACCTATTTCTGTAATGTTGTTACCTGTTAAGAAAAAACAGGATTGTGTAGTTACAGAGAAAATAAATATGACTGATAACATGTTTTCCTCCTTTCATTATATAATTATTAATTATGTAAAATTACATCTCAAGAGACTTTTACTTGTTTTAAAAGAGCTACACAACAATGTTGTAACTAGGAGTAAAAAAATGTGAAAACTAACTGAAACGATACTGGGTATGTACAAAACTAAAATAAAACACACTTTTAATGTCTTAAGTTTTAGCTGAGCTGCAACAAGCATGACAAGGCACTGGTGCATGTTCACTGAGACTGTGATGTCTACATGACTGTGAGTCAAGTGCCTTCACAAAGTGTTGTGACTGTATTGTAACACCTATTCTAAACTTAAATCCCACCCCTGACAATTAACCCTTAATTTAAAACTTAAAAACAAAAGAAAAACTAACAAAAACTAAACTGGAACAAGCAAATCCACTCCGAAAACTAACTAAAATTGAGTTTAAAAGAAAATCAAGAACAAAATAATGAAATGAAAATGAAAAATGAATGAAAAATACAAAACTATAATACACAATTACACAACTATCATAATCATGAGTGTGATGATGTGTTCCCATTGTAGATCAGCTGTAACCAAGCCCTACACACAGCTGAATTTCCGGTTTTTGTTTTCAGGCTTTATGCCTTCATTTCACCACAAACTTTCTAAATATGTAGGGTAGACTGGGGAGGGTTGTAACAGTTACAGTTTGACCAATTAGAAAGGAGCTGTGGTGATGTCATCGATGTGCTGTAGATACAACTGTTTCACTTGTATCACCTTAAGTGTCAGGTTCTCTACTTTAATTTGATGTGTTGCTTTCATGATAGCTAGCACGCACATGCTGAAAAATGTTAGCTTTGTAATGGCTGCCGGTACGGGTAGGGTTGTAACACCTTCTGCATTGTGTGCATGGAACATTTTGCAAACTCAAAGTCAAAATTAGTGTGGGTCAAGTGTGTTGATTGTACGTTCTGGGCCCATGAAGCCTGCACCCCAGGGAAAGGTGTCTACGTTTGCCACAACTGTGAGTCTGATTGAAACAACTGTAGCCTACATATTTAGGTTCTTATAGACCACACACACACACACACACACACACACACACACACAAACACGGTCCACAATCACACATTTGTTATTGTGCTAAATTTTTGACACTTTAAATTGTTTACTCTGTTAAAACTGTTTATTCTTTATTCTTCATTAAAGTTTGTTGCATAAATTGGATAGTGTGTGTCTTATTTAATCACAATACCTATTGTTACATCCATCCCCAGCTAGTGTTACAACCTACCACGTTAGTGGGGAGGGTTGTAACAACATCACTCTTTGTATATGACATTAACTCCCATAACTCTGTGATTGTGTAGTACTCTCCAAGTGATTTTATTTGTAGTAGACCTATATGGCAACCGTGTATCAAAGTTTGAGAGATCTAGCTCAAACAACCAACCCCGTTCTCCCCTATTTCATATTGTGGATCAACCTTCACCCCTCTGACACAAGCACTGGAGTTTAAATACATGATCATTTAAATAGAGATAAAGAAGAGAACAGATCAGCAGATGATGTATTAGCTGTACATACAAGGCTTTGGTTTGTTGTAACTTATGAAATTATTATTATTGAATTTTCTAAAAGACTCCCTGATAACAACAGCTCACATAAAGTTGCTCACCCAATCTTTCGGTTTTTATTCTTCCTCCGCTCCTTGCAGTCGCTTCAAGTATCCTCACATGATGAAACCCAGCGTTAACGAGCCGCTGTGCCGCCGCTATACCTGCTATCCCGCATCCTATAATAACTATCTCTGGGTCTGCGCTTGTAGCCATATTCGCTTTGCACCGGACACAAAATCACAACCGTAGCCTACATATTTAGATATGAATCCCGTTGTCTGCTTCCGTATACGTAGGCCTACTGTGAATTCCGCCTCCCGTTGTGCGTGTTGTTAATTTGGGGTTGACAGCTCTATGAAGCCCCGGTGCAGGAGGCGGAGCTGTGCAGCTGCATGCCCAAAGCTTGTCTGTTCAGGTCAGCTCAGGTGAACCAGGTGCTGCACAGACATGCTTTCAGACATATCTGATGAAACATGTATGCCTCACTTCCATGCTCGTTGGAACACAGAGGTCTCCATTACTGTAAACAGTGCCAGTGTGGAGACACCTGACAGGGGTGCACAGAGGGGTGTGTGCGCTGGACGTGGCCAACAGGCTGTTTTCATGGACCATTCAAATATTTCGTCATCCGTTTTTGTCGTGGCCTGCCTGTTTAATTCTGTCAGGGAATAATCATACTCTTATATCATGAACAAAAATGCATAACCTATAATGAGGCTCATAAACTTATTGCAGGGGTGTGAAACTCATTTTAGTTTAGGGGCCACATACAGCCCAGAGCCTGACCAGTAAAACCACTGCATAATAACCTATAAATAACAACCCCTTAAAATTTTCTCCTGTTTTTTAGTGTAAACACATACACTCTGAAAATATTTGTCCATTTATTAAACAAATATATAGAACTGTATACTGGTCAGGGTGGAAAAGCCTCTGAGGCAGCATTTTGAAGTATCTACTCACTATTTAAATTGCTCCTGAAACCTCTCAGCCTTCACAAGTGCATCAACATTAGGTGTGCTAAGTCATCGAGTGGGCCAGACTGAACCCTTACAAACACAAGTTGTGAAGGTGGAGGTGAGTGCACACATGTCATGTCTAACTTAAAGTCTTTTGAGTAGAATGGATGTACCACTGAGACTTCACCCAACTCATTGAAATGGATCTAAAAAGAAACATGATGGACATCCTCAGATAGTATTAAGCTCACAACTAATAAAGCAGGACAAGGACCTAAATATAAGTAAATCAGGTTTTGAGATGTGATTGGAAAAGCAAAACAGGAGCACTTGCCTTTACCTTTGAGAATATGTGTCATTGTGGTTACTACATAGAAAATGGCAACAAGTAAAAACTCTCAGGTCAGACTGGTAAAATACACAGCTGATATTTCATGAGCAAATCACACACAATTGGCAATGTGTAGCACATTTCAAGCATACTGAATGTCATCCTCCACACAGATGTGGACTGACCCTAATTTTACAGTAGCTTGCCCAAGCCTCCAGACTTCAATCTGGTTTTGGAATTGCTGCTCAACAAAATACTGAAACATATTACATTTACATTACACTCTCCAGTATGTATCAGTTTGGAAAAGCTTATAATATACAGTTGTAGCCTCTCACATGTGGATTGATCTTAGCAATTTCTGAGGCTGCAATTGTTTTGTAAATATTCGTGTGAGTGAGATCATGTGCCCACATGTGACCAATGTTCCTCTTTACCAATTTTGCGTTTGCAGTTTTTTCGTACCAGTACATCTCCATACAATGAAAAACTGGTGCCCTGGCTGCTCACCAATTAACATGCGCAATTTATACACAGGATACAGTCACTATCACCTGGTGTTACAGTATACATGTATAAAAAACATAAATAAGTGGGCCTAGACTTGAATTTGACTTGAGTGTGTGTGCATTGTTGCTTCGATATTGCTTACCCAATAATAGCAGTGAAAATAAGCGATGGCCTGTAGGAGTGTTGCCTCTGATAATGGTTTGTGCTCTTCTACTGCCCCTGGGATCATATGTCTCATTCAGTATGCTGATTGCTTTCTATTATTTTAGATGCCTCCAGAGTCATGTAAAATCAATAACAGATAAAATTACACTTTTAAACCTTTTTCTTGTGTAGAACTTATCTAAGCAAGGGTAAAAAGTGCTTCAAATTGTGCATAAAAATAAAACAACAAGATTACAATAATTAAAAACAATGTTAGAAGCTAAGACACAATAAAAGGCAATGAAATGAATAAGTTATAAATCACAAAAGTACAAATTAGGCATTCAGAGCTGGAGCTTTCCCATAGAAATATGTTTTAAGCAATGATTTAAAATGAGTAATGTGCTAGCAAGCCTAATCTCCTCCTCCTAGGGGCCCTGATGGCAAAAGCCAAGTCACCTTTAGAGGTCAGCAATAATCATGTTTATCCTAATTATAAGCAATGACAATCACATTTTGTTTTGAACCAAAATATTCACCATGACTGAAAAAGACAAAAATAAACATTATATTGTTATTGTACCCAACTTAAAAACCCAGAGATTTGATTTGATATGAGTAAAGCAGATTTAGGAAGTGCTTATTCACTGGACCTGGGACCCTGCCATTCCTGTGGGCAGACCTGCCTTTAGGAACATGTTTAATCAGGCACCAGTTGAAATTGCTATACCTTCTTGTAGACACATGTCAACCCTCAGTAATGAAGCCAACTTGAGGCTGACTCCAGAAGCCAGTCAATCCCCATAGACCTCAATGTTATAATGCTTAACTTTACAGCAGAAATAATCATCTTTACAGCCTGGCACAAAAGCAGTTTTGGTCTCTTTTGCTAATGTTCCCCTTCATGACAGCTGTACAGGGGGTGAACTTTTATATAATTCAGCTGTTAAGATTTTATTACGGCTTCAAGTTAAGATTAAGGGCAGGCCGTTTTGTATGAGAGGCTGTCTGACAATAGTATACTCCGCTTCTTAGTCACATCCACCCCTCACTCCTCCTGCTCCAGCCTCTCACCCAAGTATGGCCACCTTTGGCTCTAAAAAAACATGCTGGCGATGGCCAAAATGCTGAACTCGAGGCTTCGAGTCCACAAACCAATAGTAGTCACAGTAACTATGTCCATTATTTTCAGTCTATGAGACACACACGTCAAATGTCTTAAGAGGTATCTTTAAGGTTTTTCAACCTGGACCCTACATTCTCATGTTTTTGTGTCTAGGTGCCTGATGGGGACAGCAGTTTTTAAAACTGGTCCAATATTGAGTGAGAGCAGGCAGCTGCGAAATAGGCTGCAATGTAATCGTTCGGGGCAGTATCGGAAGTAAGTAAGTGCTTGCTTCTGCCACAGACAGGCTCAGATTGTTAGTATAATGTCTGGGATCAGGGAGGGGATCGTGCACTATTGTCACGAAGACAATAGTGCACCGATCCCTTGCTCTGGACCTGTTTAAATAATTATTGTTCCCATTATTCACTTAAACACAAAAACATGAGAAATTGGGTCTTGGTTGAAAAATACCAGTTTCCCTTTAAGGCATTTATGAAAAAAAACAGCCTTTGTTGTACCTATTTCTGTCAGTTGGTGTTCACAGTAAAAAGCAGACTGTGACAGCAAACCTGGTGCCCCTGTGCTAATAATAATAATACAATTTATACAATGACAACATGAGAAATTTCACAGTCTCTGGGGCCGATGCACCAGGAATTTAGGCTACAGCTGGCCTTTTTTTTTACCTTTTTACATATGATACGTTTTCTGTCCGAGTCCCTGGCACAGTCACAAGTGTTGCGAAATCATGAAAAACCCCTCGGACACACTCAACAAAAAATTGTGAGCTTTTTATTTTTTTGGCATTTACTTCACTTGTGTTGCATAAGCCTATGCACAACAGATGTGTGTGTGTGTGTCTCAACAATTAATCAAATTGTTTTTATCATTTGATTAATCAAATAGCAATGTCGGTCAATGTTGGTCCACAAAATACTACATCAGTCTTGCTGTTTGTGAAACTGTGGGAAAACGGAACAGCCCTCGTCTCTCAGGATACCCTCATTGTGTAATGTTGATAGGTCTAGAGAGACACACACACACAGTCATACATACACACACCCATGCACACAAAGCTCATGGGAACTAGCTGGCAAAGAGGGTCACTCAGAAGAACAATGCTAATCTGTGCTCCAGTCACCATGGAAGTACAGGAAATAATAAAGACAGCTGTGTGGGAAGTCCGAGCTGGGTATTATGTTTGGTGTCAGCAGAGATTCAACAGCATTTATAAAGGCCACAATAAAACAGATTTATTACATAAAAAGGTCCAAGTCAGAGAAAACATTACCAAAATCAGCTTGTATAAATATCCAAACTTGCAGTAAGAATTTTTGTAGAAAATACAAGTATGTTAACAGCAGAGATATCAAAGCAGTGATACACTTCATTGTAATAACATTAACAAAACAGATTATACAAACTGTTAAGATATGTAATTCTAATAGTAGAAGCACATTGGTGTTTGATATGGTTCTATTGCAGCCTTAACTTTTACCCATTTACCTTTGCCTCTACATTCACTACAGCATTGGCAATGTTCCCATAATTAATCAACAATCAAACAATCATTAGTGTTGAACCCACCCTTCCCCTCTCACACAGTCACACCCACCCACCCACCCACCCACCCACCCACCCACACACACACACACACACACACACACACACACACACACACACAGAGGTTACATTAGTGCATACAAGAACACTCATACTCTGTCACTGGTGTGAGCTCTGCCTTCGAGCTGGTGTTGAATCATAGATTTCAGAGCGCTGTACCTGCAGAGGTGACAAAACACACACAATTAAAGACTCCATCTCTGAGACACTCTTCAGTCCCTCCATACATGCACCACAATCCTGAAATGATCTAGACATTACTCAAAGGTGTTGTATATACAGTTAAGGTCAAAATTATTAGCCCCCCTTATGAAATCAAATAAAACCCTTATCCTTCCAATGACATGGGCCATAACCTTTAGTGTTTATAGTTTGTGTGTGTCCGCAAGAACAAAGACAACATCTGCATAAGGTCAAATGAACATTTTTATTGGTTTACTGAACTGAAACAAGAAAAAAGCAAAAAATGCAATGGTCAAAATTATTAGCCCTCTGACAACTAATAGTCAATAGTGTAGCCTTTCTGATCCAAAACTGACAACAACCTCTTCTGGTAGTTTCTAACTAAGTTGGCACATGTCTCCTGAGGGATTTTAGCCCATTCTTCCTTGGCAAATTGTTCAAGATCATGCAAATTGCTTGGTCTCCGAGCATGGACCCGAACCTTGAGCTCCCTCCACAGATTCTCGATAGGATTGAGATCAGGGCTCTGAGAGGGCCACTCCAGAACCTTGATTTTGGTGTCTTTCAAAAAGTTTTTGACTAACTTTGATGTATGCTTCGGGTCATTGTCTTGCTGGAAGACCCAGCAACGACCTAACCCTAGACTGGCTGCAGATGTCTTGATGTTAGCCTTCAAAATACCCACATAATCCTCTTTTTTCATGGTCCCATGCACCCGAACAAGGTTTCCTGTCCCTGAAGTAGCAAAACAGCCCCACAGCATTATGTTGCCACCACTGTGCTTCACTGTGGGGACAGTATTTTTAGGGTTGAAGGCCTCGCCCTTCCTTCGCCAAACAAAAGCAGCATCCATATGCCCAAACAGCTCAAGTTTGGTTTCATCAGACCAAAGGACAGACTTCCAAAACTCACCCTTATGTTTCAGATTGTCTCTGGCAAAATTCAGTCGGGTTTAATGTGCCGCTGTGAGAGCAATGGGGTTTTTCTTGCACGATGACCACGAAGTCCACCACGATGAAGAACCCTCACAACAGTCTTGCGTGAAACATCAAGTCCAGAGGAAGCCAGTTCAGCAACAATCATCTTTGCAGAGGTCTGGGGATTCTTGTTGACATCTCTGATTATTTTTCGCTGCAAAGTTTTGGAAATCTTGCGTTTTCTACCACTGCCAGGTTTATTTTTAACAGACTCTGTTTCTTTGTGCTTTGCAATGATGCAACGCACAGCTGTTCTAGAAACCATGAAACGCTTGGAAATGGCAGTATATCCTTCCCCCTGAAGATGAAGATCCACTATCTTCTGTCTGAGGTCCAGACTGATTTCTTTGCTTTTTGGCATGATGATATTGCTTCTTACGAAGATTATAGAGCAACCCTGGAGTATCCCTTTCATTCAAGTGGTCAAGTGATACTAACTCTGCTTCTTGAAGTCACTTAAATAAGGTTCAGTGCTAATTGATTGCTCAGGTGTGTTTTCAAACCTAATTGACTGCTCAGGTGTGGTTTCAAACCCAGTTAATTTGTTTTGAAAGCACAAAATCACATGGGGGCTAATAATTTTGACCATTGCATTTTTTGCTTTTTTCTTGTTTCAGTTCAGCAAACCAATAAAAATGTTCATTTGACCTTATGCAGATGTTGTCTTTGTTCTTACAGACACACACAAACTATAAACACTTAAGGTTATGGCCCATGTCATTGGAAGGATAAGGGTTTTATTTGATTTCATAAGGGGGCTAATAATTTTGACCTTAACTGTAAGAACACATCGATCAGTTTGACGGACATTAAACCGATTCTACCCTGCCAGCTCCCTAGCACAAAGTCTGTGTCATGTTTGATCGAGTCCATGTGTGAATAGAGTCGGTGAATGTCTGGAGAATTCCCATCAAGAAAACAAAAACCTGAGAGTGAAGAAGAAGGGTCATTTACACGAAGAGGGCAAAAAAATGTCTAACTAGAGAGATGATGAGATCTGTGAAATTCTGTTGGTAAGCGACAAAGCCAAAATTATCAAGACAAATTCAAAGAGACTCTGTTGTTAATGACCAAATCACAAACCCGCTAAGTGGCTGAGGTGTAATCTGCGTAATGTCCTGCCACTACACACTCCACCCAGGTGCCACCCCTCACCTAAACTAAACAACATATTTCCAGAAGGTGAGAAGCCTACTGACGCGGACAATTTCCTGTTGTGGGCTACATATGTAAAAGAGTTGATATGACACAAAAGGCACAAGTGCTCAAATACACACACTGATACATTTCGTTACATGGATATAAATGCACCCCAAGCACTTTAAAAAAAAAATCTAAGCAGGGACTTGAAACGTAAACCTTAAAAATCTGGTCATGAATATAAAGTTTCATTTTTAAAAAGCAATAAGTAAATGTTTTAAAACAAAGCAAACATTACTCAAACAGGGGTAAACAGTGAATTTGTGGGGGACTATTTTAATTGGTGGATAAGACACATTAATAAGCAGGAAGGTGTGTATGGGGATTGGCTATAAAAATAAGCCACAGTGCCTGTGTTTATTGTAATGAAAGAACAAGACACTTAGTGTAACAGTGTGGCTAACTGGTGTGGTTTTGGATGACCGTGTTAATGGCCCAGAGGAGTAAGCTGTCACAGGCAATACTTATTAGTCACAAAAATTCACTGCTGAGGTTTTTCTTTTCATGCAATTACATAACATTGAGATCAATATAAAAGGCCACCAGGCTTACCCTTTAATGGTGGCGGTTAAGTGACTGTGTGCGTGGTAAAATATGCCTGTGTATGTAGTTAAATAAACCATATGTCTGAACTCACATGCCACAAGTCACACACAACAAAATGTGTCACAGGGCAGAAATCTTAGTCATGAGAGTTAATGGTTACACAACCCTGTTAACAGTGAGTAATAAATGTGTTATACAAACACTGTCCTCATTGAGGGTTTTCTTTTGATTGATTCCGGTTACGTGCTGACGTGCTTGGTCACAGATAATGGCTTCCCCTTATGAAATAGAAATGTCATTAAGGACGGCTTTGTCTGGAACTAGTTTCGTAACTTTGTTTGCTGGGAAGACAGACTCTTGACTTACTTTTTGGTCAGCTTGTTTATTTCACGTTCCTCTTCCTCTTTAAGTTTCTCTACGAAGCTGTCTAAAACAGGAATCTCAAACTTTATGTACTGGGCAACCTGAGGAGAAAAAGATTCATATCAGCACATATCATCAGCATGAGGGAGCTACAACGTGTCCTTGATTTTAAGATTCCACCCTCACCCATACTTTAAGTGCACAGGCACATTTCTCTGTCCAGATAAAAATATAAACAATAAAGATAAAATAATATAGTAGCTTTAAGTAGAGGGTAAATCTCAAAAAGAAGATCAGTTCACTTTAATAACAAAAAACACAACAAACAACAAAAAAAATTTTTAACGTGTAAAAAAGCAACATAAACACCAGACTATCGATGCATCCGAAATTGCAGGTTATACACTACATACCCAATATATGAATTATCGTTCAAAATAATTTTGTGTGAATAAACAGCAGTATGTATCTTTTTAGATCCACTGAGCTGTAATAACCAAGTCACTTCCTGGGAGCCTCCTTGTGGCTTGGAAATGCATAAGATTGGTAAACCGTGCCAACCTCAGCTCTACTGGCAATTTAAAAAATGAACTGTGGTAAACTTCCCTCCATCTTACCAGTGCCCAGTTTTCATTGCTCATCCGTAAACTCAACAGTACAGGCACAAAGAGTATAGAAGCACATTCTCTCTTTAAAATGCAGATCAAACTCTGATCAAACAGTAAAACTAGGCAGTGCTGATCAAATATGAATCAAGATTCTGTTACTGTGTTGTCTATTTCTCTTCTAAAATGTCTTCAGAACACATTTTAGTGCACTGTTTGGCTGTTATACGAGAATTTGTGAACAAGAAGGGGGCGCCATACTGTTTCCTGTACTGTGAAAATGGATGCTGAAAACACTCAGATCAAATGGTAAAACTAAGTTTTTCTTGCCTAAAATGTAGTTAGTTTAGTGTACTGTCTACCTGTAATACAAGACTGTTTGTTATTAAATGGCTGCCATATCTTTCTTGTATCAAAACGGCTAGTCCACATCACAGGGGCATTATGTCCGGTGCAGCACAGTGCACTCTAGAATTTGTAGGCGTTCTACCTCTTGAGCAAAAGCGAATATTTCAAAAGTATTTGTGTCTCTCTACTGCATAGACAGCCTAGTTTTGTCACAATCCCTGTCTCTCAGTCCTCTCCTGCCACTCTGCTGCAGTGTTTTTCCACTCCCTCTCCCTCTGCTTCACTCTACCTGCCAGCCGCGCCCATCTCATCAGGCCAACTCTGCTCACCTGCCTACACAGCTGCAGCTTATCAACCAGCCCTGCATATAAGCCTCTCCAGCACCTTCACTCACTGCCAGATTGTTCTTTAGCATTATGCGAGACTCTCCAGCGTTCTCCTGCCTGATCTCCCGGTGCCAACTCTGCCTGTCCCCGACCTGCTCCCCTCGTCTGCCTCCCGGTAAACTCACCTGCCTTCTGTCCCCGACCTCGTGCTTTGCTTCAGCGTCTCTGGTTTCTGCCTGCTCGTCTGGTCTCGACTCCTCCGCCCGGCCTCGTCTACCCTCCTGCCTGCTCCTCAACGGTGCTTCTGCCTTCGCTGACGGCTCTTCTAGCTACGACCCCCCCCCACCGACTCCCGACCTCGCCTCAGCTCACTCCTCGTCGGCTTCTCAGCACGATCAGCCGGCGCTTCAGCCTACGGTGCGTCTGCCTCGCCACCTTTGGCTGCCGTAAGCTTGATCTCTTTCCCTCATCTGAGCCTCAGAGACTGTGTGAGGGCAACTTGCCCGAAGAACGAACTTTATTCTGTGTTTATTCTGTCTGCTGCATTCCCTGTTTGCTGTGGTGCTAATAAAAGTCATTACCAACTGTTCCTGCGAGCCTGGTACTGCATTTGGGTCCACAAACACACCCGTTTCAAGTTTAATGAAAAGACCAACTTTCCAGGAGTGAAATACTTATTTTAACACTTAAATTGAAGTGTTATTGATGTTACAGAGCTGCTGCGATCGCTGTCCATTATAACTGTTGTTGTCACTACCGCATTGCATTTTGGTATATTTAGGCCTTGATCACACCGAAAGCATTTTAGCAGCTGGGAGTGGCTTTTTGTTGTTGTTGTTTTAATGAGAATGAAGCTTTTTGCTCAAGGTTTTTGTGATGTGACATGCCTCTTGTTTCTGCGCTCTAGACGCCTAGTGTATTTGCTGGAGCACTATGAACTCCTTGAGTTGAAAAAACTTCAACTTAGAGCAGAAAAATGCCCCACATCATCTTTGCTTTTTCCCTGCATGTGTCCAATCGGATGATTAAAGAGGCGGGCCATCTGTGGTGGTCACGACAACAAGTTTACAGTTGGTAAACAATGGAGGAGAAACAGGTGGTAGCACGTGCTGGATATCCAGGTCTATACGGCCTGATGATAGACAGAAGGTTGTCAAACTGCCCCTGAGTCATCCTAAAATATGCCTGCAAATGGCCATCATCGAGGGGAAGCTCCTGGACCAACTGGTGGTGCTCCCCCTGATCCACCCTCTTTTTTTTTTAGAGTTTCGTGTTCCCATGCAGATCTCCGTTTCCTTGTGCCCAACAAACTATTTGCTGACAGCCTCTCACCCTCAACCAGAGCTACAGCAAGTACCCTCTGCCTCAACATTTTAGGAACTAGCTACTATTTACTGTGAAATAAATAAAATTAAGAAATTCACAGTAGGTTGATTACACAGAAAGTTAAGGATGAGCAAGCGTTTTTTTCCAAGCGGCATTCAATTAAAATAACTAATAATTAAAAAATCTCACACACTGTTTTAGTGCACTAAATAGCATGTTAGCCTGACTCTTTTCTATACTGCAGTCTATATTTTCAGTATTCCAATGAGTTCATCTACGGTAAAATTATGTCTAAAAAAAATATTACTGTTGAATATTTTAAATGTAATCTTTTAAGACAGGTCAAAGCAGATATTAGCTGGATATTCCCAAAGATGGACAAATAAAAACAAAACTATGGCTACATACCACCAGAGGTAAGTCAGATATGTTTTAGTTATTTAGATGAACTGGCCCTTTAACTTATATTTCTGACTTTATGTGTACTGTATGAAAGTGATTCTAATTATAGACAATCCCAAAAAGTTTTCCAGCTACGTGTTTTATTTATTCATCGGTGCAGTCACAACATGCAATTGGCCATCTTAGCCCATTGTTACATCAGTCCCAAAACAGGATACCTTTCCTCAGCTTGCTAAATTTAACCTGGCTGTCTGTCATTGGTCCATTGTGTCATTGTGTGTCTGTGTTGAAAACTATACACAAAAAATGAAAAAGTGGTCATTTATTGAGAACATGAGAGAACAGAGTTGTGGGAGGCGTCGCAGACTCACATCATGTGTAACTTCCTCTCCCAGGTCGGCCTCCGTGATCAAGATCTTAGAGATTTTCTCACAAGGTCCGTAAAGCACACGAGCCACCAGCGGGTATTCACCATCCCTCAGTCGGGCCCTCTCTACAAGGCCACAGAAAAAGAAAACAAATGACCATAAACACACACACAAATTTCCATTGACAAACCCACAAGGAAAATTATGACTTACCACCAGACTCGTGTACCATATAAAGAACAAACTCTTCAGATTTATTCTCCACCTTAAAAAGACACAAATGGATTATTTCAAGTTTTACTAAAACACTTGAGATGTTACAATTGTCTTACAGCTTACCCTAAACTTGTGTAGCAGCAGGTTGAGAACCTGTGTGGTCGTCATGGAGCTGTTGACTCGCACGTTAGTGACTGAACCATACGCTGGAGTAAATACAGACGTCTGAAGACAAGAGAAACACATACACAGAAATAACTTAAAAGACACAAATTATGAGGAACTCTGCTTCATCAACAGTGGAGTAGGGATTCCTGGACACGAACACCTTGGACATTTTGAACAGGAAGGAAATCCCTCAGTCTGAAGCTGGAATCTGTTCAATGAAAACACACACACGCATACTGTATTCAGGAGAAACTGCATGCTGTGTAACCTTGTGTTCTGTGGAACATCAATGAAATCAGCTCACAGCAGGCTATTGTGAAATTCAGCCCAACTACAGGCACACCAGCACAGGAAACTCCTGCCCCTCTGCAGCTGGAGATGTGTCAGCAATGGGATACATTACTGCCTTTGCTTGTATGTATGTTCTGTTTAGTGTACCTTATGGTTGTAGAAGTGTCCGTTGATTGAGAACCTGTGTGTGCGCAAGCGCTGCAGATCTCTGGCAGTGTGTGTCCTTGACCTCCTCTGAACCTGCATGAAGGAGGCGTCACTCCTGGTCCTCAGCAGCTGAGGAGAATCCTCCTCCTCCTGAGCGCCTATGTCACCACCTCAGGGTAAAAAAAACACACCTCTCATTATACATGCATCAGTTGTGCATGTTTTTATATACATCAGCAGAACAAATAAATCGAATACTGGTTAAAATAAGCCATAGAATATTTTTCCATTGCCAGTAGACCAGTGTGCCTTTGATTTTTTTTTTTTACTTTATTTTTTTTCCGGTGTGTCACGTTTGACATCATAGACAAGTCAGAAAAAAGTTTAGTGAACAATAGAAAGCAGCATGGAGGCCAGTGAAAATCTTATGGTGGTGACTTTTATATCTCTTTCTTATTTAGTCTTTCTCTCAAAGTTGGTGCAGACTGAATTTTGAGCGATGCCTGAGAGCTGCTTGGACGGAGACGTATTGGATTTTGTGGCAGCACGTCATTACATTGCCCCAGTAAAGGGATAACAATTAGCACGTCCACCCGGTTGTTGCATTTTCATCACTGCCACTTGGAGCCAATCTGAGTTGAGACCGATACATACTTGCACCTACTGCAGAGGCATTTGTCCCGGGAGTTGTAACCTCTCCCATTAAGTACAAAAGCCAGATTTAAGTGGGTATTCATGTTTTTTGTTTTGTCCAGTTGGAAAGGGTCTTTATAGACTAAATGAATAAATGACCTCACACTTTTGTCCTGTGTTATTGGTAGATGCCACTCTACGAAAAATGGAAGGCGTCCTGGGGGGATGGGTGGGTCGAATTAGAAACAAATCATTGGGTTGATACACTGAAAGTCATGCCTTTTTTCCCCCTTAAAGCTCCTTGATACTCTCATTAGTCAAAGCAGTGTTGATTCTCCTTACCTATTTCATTTCATTTATAAAATTGGACCAAACTTTGAGGCTAGTTTTATAGCCAGCGCAGCCAATATTTCATATGTTGTTAAAACAATTTTGACATTTTTCTGTATCCAACAAAAATACATGCCTTCCTCCATCACTTATCATTAGACATTACAGTAGAAAGTGCCAAACTCTGTTTAAATCAATAATTAAATAAATAAGTGGCCCACTTTTCATCTTTTGCATGGTATTCATTCAGTCATGAGATGTTGACCCACAAACTTTCAGAATTTTAAATCTTCTAAGACAGAATTAGGATCACCATGCGAAAAAACTTCATCATGAAACCCAGACAAATGATCATGATTCGCAGGGGGAGTAAATTAAATGTTTAAAAAGAAAAAAACTGATTATCTGTGATTAAGAAGGACCTCTGGACACTGCCTAAAAAGGCTAATGTCAGGCCCGTGGCTAAGTATTCTAACCCCAGTTATTTATAGTGTTGGTGATCTGATCAAGGTGGCATCTCATGATAATCTGTGCTCAACATGTGAGCCAGCTTTTCCATTGAAACTGCTGAATGAGGCGCTTGTTGAGCTTTAATCTGTTTCAACATGTGCTTGTAATCTACATTAATCCAGCAGGTGTGTGTGTGTGTGTGAGTGTGTGTGGCAATGACTGCACGTGTATGTTACTCACTAGCTGGTGCGGTGTCTCTGCCCAGGGAGTTATTATTAGACTCCGCTGAGAGCTGCTTTGTCACAGCAGATCTATCGTTTCTGTAGAGAGACAGAGGAACAATGTGATTATGTTTGTTAACATTGCTAACACCTGTTTATAATGAACAATATTTAAAATGCATCCAGGTGTTTTGCAAAACAAGATTTAGCTGATCTTGACTCAGTAAGGTCTGCCTGCTAGCTTTTTTCCAGAACTTTAACTACATCTGGATGAAGACTAAGATGTGGTTGATATCCGGGAAAAAGCTAGCAGCTGGAGCTTTATTTGAAACACCAGTTCAGCGTTTTGGAAAGTATGCTTATTTGCATTCTTGCCAAAATTTTGACAAGCAGATTGATACCATTTTCATACGTGCCATTTAAATATGAAGCTACAGACAGGAGACAGTTAGCTCAGAGACTAGAAACAAGGGGAAACAGCTAGTTCATTAATTAATACATTATTTCTTGTTTGTTTGTTTGTTTGTTGCTTGGAGCCAAAAGCGGCGGACATTTTTATGTGCACCATTGAAATTGCAACCATTGTAGCGGGCTAACTTCTGTGTAAACTAATGTGGCAAGTTACAAACTCACTGAAGCAGTTTTGCAGTAACAACCAAGTGAGCAGTGAAGTAGTGACGTTCTCAAATAACCAATCCGTAACTTCTAAAATATCACAATAACTGTTATTTCCCTGTTTTACCCTGTCTCTGCACGTTGGTTGAAACACGTAGCCTAAGCTAAAACTGTAGCTGCATGCGAAGAGCGAGTGAGAGCTGCTGCTTTAGCGGGCAGCTGAGAGGCAGAGGCCGCAGGGATAAACAGTGTGCAGATCAGCATATTTTCACATCTAACTCTGAATCAAAGGTTTCTTTCCACCACAAAGAGATGCTGATTGTTGAAACAGTGGAATAACTACTTAGATGCCTAACAAGTCAAGTCGAGTTTGAATGAAGTGTGTTTTAACATTAGTTAACAAAGCAATAAAGCTAACAGTAGTCTTGTAAAGTAAATTTGGATTAGTGTACTGTTGTATTTTTTTTGTTTAGGTATACGGACAGGCCAAAACACCACTCTCAAACTTGTGAGTGTGACACACTTTACAGCCCAACTGTGTGTGTTGTCACCAGAACAACTAACAAAAACTGCTATTTTCTTTTGTACTAGTCAAATGACCATAACAAACAGTGCAATGTCCCCTCTCCTTTCATTCTTCTTCTATGGTTTTACCTTTGGACAGAGCCAAGCTGGCTGTTTGTCCCTGCTTACAGTCTTCATGCTAAGCTAAACTTAAATGCATCTAGGTGTTTGCTAAGATCACTCATCATTTTTGTCTAACTACTGTTTCCAAGGTCAATTTTATTTTCAGTATAGATCAGTCTGCCATCTGCATAATTTCACTGATCAGTTTATTAATCATTTTTCCCATAAATGTCTCAATATAGTAAAGACGATGGATTTAAACTGCTTGTTTTTACATGACAGTCAAAACCCCAAATATATTCACTTTATTATCATATGCATAGATTTGAGAAGTTGGAACAAGTTAAAGTTTTGGATATTCAAAATATATTGCCAATACAAAGATAAAAATAATGTGAATAGTCTTTTTATGCCATTCCTTAATATCTTATTTTGTTTTATGTATTCATATGACCTTCTCCGTTAGGCTACATGGTGTAATATGTACATTTCCCCTTTGGCGATCAGTCTTCTCTCTTATTTTATCTTTTCTAAACTCTAACATATGGCTAGATCTTTAGTACAGCAGCATTATCTATTTTACAGGGAGAGGAGTTTTCCTCTCCTTCAGTACATAATACAGGGTGGGGATGCAGGTGAACGAGGTCAGCATGTACAGTTTGAATATCTCTGCTATTGTGTGAGAGGTCTCTGCTGACAGGCAGTTTAACACATGAATCCATGTCAGTCTGCACGGGTTGTCATACCGGTTGAGACGGAATCTTTCGTTGTCGTCGTACATCTGCAGTCTGATAGGTCGGCGCAGACCCCAGTAGATGTTCAGCAGCCCCTCGAGGATGAGCTCTCCATCCTCCTGCACACGTGCAAAAACACACACACACACACGACAATAAAACAATAATCATCAACTCTCGTGGTCAGAGGGGGGATATCCTCTTGGCTACCTGCCACAGTGGCTCAATATCAGGTGTACGTGCAGAAACAGTCGCTCACAGCTTCAGGGTGAACCCTCACATCTTGGAGAAACCCATCAAGTTCAACCCACCCTCTTTTACACAGTACAAGGGTGAAGTCACGTCTGAGATGGCAGCAATAATGAGAACACAGACATGGCTGCTTTGGGTCACGTACACGCAGGGGGGAAGGCGTTTTGATTTCACAGAACTGAAACTAAATTTAGAAAAAATAAGGTCACATTTATCTCTCTATTCTGAGTGTGGATTAAAACAGTGTCCTCCTGTTTATATTTTTCACTTGGCTTTTGAATGGAAAACTAAAAATAACATTGGAAAAAGGTCTCAGGGGTGTAAAACACATTTTAGTTCATGGGCCACATACAGCCCTGTTTGATTCCAACTGGGCCAAACCAAAACCATTGCATCATACGTCACCTATAAGTCACAATGCTTCCAAATGTTTCATTTTCTTTTAGTTTAAAGAAGTACAAGTACATTCTGAAAAGGATCATCCTTTTACAAAACACATGATTAACAGACAGTTTTTCCACATTCATTCAGTCAACCACTCACTGTAATCACATGCATTTCTCCATACAGTTCCACTCCTGCGTAGCAATGCTGCGTCACCATATAAAATAAAAGAAGAGCAATATTGTTTTGTTTTTTTTTAGATAAAAGTCTGATACAGATTCCAGATGTGTACTGCGGCTGCTGATTAACAAAACTTTGCACAATATTCAATATCTTTAAACATGACCACAATAAATACAAATTGCTTTTTCAGAGAACTGTGGTCTGGTTCGGCCTCTGAAGCTGCATGCGCCTAAACATCTTAGACTTTGCAATTGTGTTAAAACTTGGTGTGGCAGATCAAGTTTTGGCCTGAATGGTTAAGCCTGTGATCATTTTGTTTGTTGTTCAATATTAAAAAAGATCCAGAAATAAACCCATTGTAACACACTTACTGTGACTGTTGTAATCACAGACTCAGTTGCTTTCATCTCAAACAGCGTGTTTTATCATCACAATATCTTCTTTGATACCCCAGAAAACAATGCAGATCTTTTAACCGAGATTCCGATGATGTCAACTCCTTCTGATCAATTTTACTCAATCAGTTTTACTTTTATTTCTTACTGTTACCCAGTAGCGCTTTTAGTGAAACCTCAAGTAATTCGAGGTAATAGATTAGAACTAGAATAGAACTGTAAACACATGCATACATGTATTGTATCTATACATCAGAGAGACGCATTATAAAAGGGATGACTTTTATAATATTGAAAACTTTTAAGATCTAATTACAGAGTTTAGACGGTAAATCATAATCATGTTAATTAGGCTCCTGTATCAGAAAACATACTGTACTTAAAGATATACGTATACACATACTGTACAGTATATGGGACTTACTGGTCTTGCACCGGGCCTTTGTTAAAACAGGAAGAGTCAATGGAAGCGAGAGTTCACGCTCATGACAGATAAATGGGGAATTATTTGCGAACAATTTGTCTCAAGGAAAAGGAACCAAATGTCCAAAAGTACAAAAAAGGTACAAAAAGGGTTGGTGTGTGTGAAACTTTTCTGTCATTTTAAAACAACTTGTCTGACAGAGAAACAAAATCAAGACGCATCTTGAAACTAGGGCTCGTAAATATATATGTAAATATATCGATTTTGTGTTATGAGTCTAGATATTGGCTCAGATTTTGGAGATCGTAATATAACAAGTGTTGTCTTTTTCTGGTTTTGAAAGACTGCATTACAGTAAAGTGATGTCATTATCTGAAAACTGTTTTAGCTGTTGTAAAATTTGCCCATAAAGTGCCACAGGAATGAGTCCTAAAACCCAGAAATGAGTTAGTATTTCATCAGTCCTGGTTCCCTCATTTTGATGTCAATGGGTTTTTGTTTAGACATTTGAAATAAGGTTGGTGGTTCACACAGGCTTAAGGGACTTCCACACTTTGTTTTAGGTCATAAAATACATCAGTTAATACCCTAATGAATTCTGAAGGTTTTATGTGCCTATGAAAGTGTGGTTTCAAAAAAGTGGCTTAATGGGACCACAGAATGTTATCTCACTGAACACAGCTGAACAGCGTTGCTGTGGTGCTGATGTTATCAGGTGATCATGGTGTAATTAGTTTTTTGCTTAACATTAGCTTTTTACTTCTGGCGATTGCATTTAGTGTGTAACAGTCATGAAAGTGGTGCTCATTTGTGAACATTATCTTGCTGAACAATACCTGTACGTATCATAAACTTTTGTTTGCCACAGAGCTTGTTTTTGGCAATAATCCAAAACCCAAATAAAAAATCCTGTTGGCTTTTTGACGAGGGAACCAGGGCAATCCTAACTTCCGCGTTGGCCTACAGAAGAATGTCATACCTGGAGCACTTTATACCCACTTAATCATTATATCCACATTACTGATGATTATTTAGCAAAAATCCCATTGTGTAAATATTTCCTGATAGCACCAATGTTCAACTCTACGTTATCGCCAGCCTTACTAGAAACCTAAGAACTCTGATCAAAAAATATGGCTATAGTTAAAAACTGTTCAAGTTATATTAAGGCACAAAGCTGTTAATGAGGCCAATAAGCCTATTCCTGTCGTCTGGGAGCATGTGACCACTCACACACTGATGTCTGCATTAAAGCAGTTGACATGAGGATCTCAGACTGCTTTAAGAACCACGTGAACAGTTGGTGTTTACACACAAAAAGCTTATGGAGCCGAACCAATTCTTAATGCTGAGGCCTCTATATGTAGGCCTTTCATGTTTATTTACTGTAACTGGTTTAAGTTGCATGGATAAATTGTGTCTGACATAGTTATTTCTGACAACTATGTTATAGTTGTACAATAATGTGATTAAAAGAAGGCTTGTCAGTGAGAAATGAAAAAAAGAAAAATGCTGGGGAGGAAATCAGTCAGTTTTTAGTTGGGTCATCATATTAATACTGAAATATCAGAGAAAAAAAAACAGTTTCAGAGGTAAGACACATTGTTCCCAGGGACTTCATTGTTACTGGAATATAAACATTCAGAGCAGCTGCACCACTGAACCTTGCTGACCCGCCACTCCTAAGCTTCCTGAGTAGGCATGAACACACCCTCAAACACACACACACGCACACGCGCACACACACACGCACACACACACACAGATGCGAGTAAGGTCAGTAGAGCTATTTTTGGAAGTAACAGCTAATCGCTCTGCTTCAGCGTGCCTCTATAAAGGCTGGATACACACTCCGCTCCAGTCATACTCAACTGAACGGACTAACGGACTAGACAACACTGTTTCGCTCTGCATGTCAACACAACAAGTCAAGCACCAAAGGTGAGAATGCTTCTACTTTTTGTTCTTCATTATCAGCTAATACTTATCACAGAGGGCTTACAATTTAGCCGCTTTTATGAGTAGATTTTAACATTATATTACATATTTCACTTTGTTACGAACCAGATTTAGAAAATTAAGAACATAAACTAAGAAATAATTTTTAAATCTTAATTGTAGATATCAAACTAGGGAAGAAGGTATGAACAGTTGAAGAGACAGCAGGCAAAACCACAAATGCAGATACATGACCACTGTAAAGATTTTTTCAGCAGCACAGTGACAGACCTTGATTAAAAACAAAGTGAAATCACAACTCTAGATTTGTTCTGTTGATAAAAATTTGGACTTATTATGTCATTGAAGACAAAGTCACTGTCTAACTATTTGATTTTTCCTCTCCCGCTGCAGCATGAAACGCAGGCGGCTGTTGCCTTCCCTGCCTCTCTTGCCGACCATCACTGAGACACTCGAGGACTTGCCTGTCCACCCCTCATCCTCCCAGTCTACCCAGAGCTCCCCGTCTCTGGAGGACTACATGAGCAGTATCCAGGCTCTTGCTTGCCCTGCTGAGACCCCGAGCTGTGGCCCCGTCCGACTCCAGAGGTCCCCCAGGCTGCGGCAGTTCTCAAAGGCTCAGATGAAGCTCTCTGCGTCAGCCTCACTTCCTCGTGGCTCTCCCCGCACACTAAGGACTTCCAGACATTACAGTCTGGGTCTAAACAGCACAGAGGATTTTTCTCTCAAGATGAGCAGAGAAAAAGACTGCAGGGGCAAAGACCCCGTGGACTGGCTGTTTGGACAGATACGGACTTAAAGAGAGACGCTGAAGTGGGACGCCCTGAAAGCACTTTGGTGGAATATCTCAACATCAAACACGGCTGGAAGAACCTGTTCTGTTGATCAAGATTAAAACAGAGTGTGTGATGGGACTTATTATGACGTGTGAACAAAGACAAAATGTTCACATGGCTCTGGAGAAAAGTGAAGATCTATTTATTTCTATGCACTGAGGACTGAGGTCTACATGTTTACACTGATGTTTTGTAAAGATGTATAAGTTAAAGTGTCTAATAAATTACTAAAATAATCCTGAACATTGTTATTCTCTGCTGTTTACTACACAAAAGAGCTGAATATCAACACATCTCAAATCCACATGCAAACGGAGCCGAAATCCTTAGTGATTGTGATTAATCAGAGATAAAATTATTTGCAGCAGTTTCAGTAATTGTTTAATCCTTCTGGTCATTTGTCAAGCAAAGCAAAAATGAAAAATAAATTTCCAGTTTCAGCTTTTAAAATGTGAGAATCTGCTGCTCTGCATCTGTTTTCTGACGTAAACTGAATCTCTTTTAGTCTCCGATTGTTGGTTGGACAAAACTAAACACCTGAAGACATTAACCTGGGCTCTGGGAACAGAGACATTTTAAAGACTAAATGACATTAACTGATAATAAAAAGTAATCACTGGAATGCTGCTGCCAGGGTTGCATCCATGGATGTACTGTATAAAAAGGTGGTAAAATGTAACTTAGTA